ATATATATATATTGTCAAGTTAAACTTCAGCGTGGAAGCTATGAATTCTAAGTATTCTATCATCAGCGTCGTGTTTAATTAAATCTTAAACATTCTTCGAAACATTACAAAAAACATTATTTTAAGACCATATTTTAAAATTGTAATAAATAAAACAAAAATATTATTCGTTGAACTACCTACGATGGTAAAAAGAAAAGGTATTTAGTATAGGTATTCTAGAATAAAATACAAAGAAAAAGTTAGTATTTTGGAAGTATTTTAAGTACACTTGTCAAAGAAATACCAAAAACAAAGAGTCTAACTCAACAACASAGTTSGGCATCCATAGCACGTTCCAGTAGGAAATATTATAGGTACACATCATTCGGTGAAAATGACAACATGCTGGTTATAATATTTATTTTAGAGAAAATATTCGCAAATCAACGATTATAATTAAAAACTGAATTAACAATTATTAACAAAAACCAATATTGGAAATAATTCATTGGCGTTTAAAACAAAATTAAATTTACTTGTTACAGAAAATAATTTTTAGTTTTTAAAAATATTTTAAATAAATTTTGCAAAATGATATCAATATTTTTTTTTTTTGAAAAGTTTTTTTATAACTTTATCCTTCAGATATGGGAATGTAGGTCTAAACAAGTATAATGACCGATGAATACCTAAATTAATTACCACCTTAATAAACTTCTATCGAAAAGTTATCCAAAATTATGACCAAATATAATATTAGCATTCATAAAATTAAAAAGTTTTCCTAAACATATATTTTATACAGAGGAGTGATTGTTCGTTCGCCACTTTCCACAYAAACAAGCCGCACTCTGTTGCCATTCCACAATACCGTATTACATATAAGTAAGCACGCTTTAATAAATATCCAATTCAGAACAACCGTAGTTGAAGTCGTTTTCGACAGAATCGTCTAAAATCCACGATTGTAGGAACAACAATTAATTTACTAAACGCGAACACGACACAAGCGAAAACGCTCTCAACCGAAGAACGGTAATATGCTTGCCGTGACGTTTTCCATTTAAACACGTACAAAATATATAGTGCCGACCGTATGTTATTATTGTTGTGCCGAAATTCTAAAATATAATATGTATACATATGTTTACATGTATACCATGTATTGTGTATTCCATATTATATCTACGTCATATATTCAATCATTAAAATTTACAGAACAACTTACTGTATACACGTCATGTTTTTATCGTGATTGTTATTWCGAATGTTGTCCTCTTGCTTGCTAGAAGATGTTGCCCGCCAGGCGATTGTGGCGCTTTGTGAATATACCTATCTAAAATATTCATTAATTTGGTATAGGCTCGCAAATGAAGACCATTATAAAACGTCATAATATAATATTATGCCTAACATCCAAATGTGTATAATATATTCGTCCTCACCTACCGAGGGTCGCGTGTTATTGATAACGTACTTTACTTAATTATAATATTGTATTATAATAGGCGTGCGTAGAAATTTTTTACAGGGCGTGCTGAATTATTTTAGTAAGGGTCACTTGAACTACTACAATTCAGTAAGATAAATAACATTGTCTCTATATTACAATAACAATTAGTTTATAATCCATTTAAATTTTTTAGATGCTGTTTTATTGATTATGAAAATAAAGAATATTAGGTGTAAATTTAGTATTATTATTGACTGTTGCATAAAAAAACAATTTTGTAGGGTGTGCAGCTACACACACTGCACACTCCGTGCACACACCTATAATACATATTATTAGGTTAAATATTTATTTTAAATGCCTAGATTTTATGAGTAGGTATATATATGATACATTGTTGAAGAGGTTTTGCTTAATTTTTTTACGTCGATTTTGTAAAATATTGTTATGCGCGATTGTTTCTATATAATACAGATAGTACATTGCTGCAAGTCGGATCGGAGGATTTTAATTTTAAAAACGTATTCAATTGAAAAATGTTTATCAATTCGGACAAGCATGCTTATACATTATTTATGAGACAACTTGAAATTTAAATATACAGCTCGAATTTCGTTTAATTATTTTGCTTTTTTTACGATAGCTATACGGAATTTTAATGCGTGAAATCTTAGTAGATATATATTATATATCGCGAGTCTTCTCGTTGGCCATCCCTGATATATAATATAGGTGTTCTATACTTACTTTTAAACAATAACACGGCGATTTTTCATATTATTAAATCAAATATGATAACGATAAGTTAGTCTTTTGAATTATCATTTGAACTGGAATAAATAATTGAATTCTAATTAAAATAAAGTTTAAATATAAGTACCTGTATCTTTAATTACCAATATATTTAAATACAAGTATTCGAACTCAACACGACTATTTGACACCTCTACCACGTTCAAGTGGATTGTACTATACAATCATTCACTGAAAATGACAATATGCCGGTTGTAATATTTATGTTTGTTAGAGAAAATATTGGCAAAATTCATACTTATAATTAAATTGAAGAAACAGTTATTAATACAAAACAATATTGGAAATAATTTAGGTACTGGTGTTAAAAACAAAATTAATTTTACTCGATACGGATAACAGTTTTTAATTTTTTTAAATATTTTCGACGAGTTTTGTATAATGAAATCAATATTTTTGTTTTATATTTTATATTAGTTAACTATATATAACATTTTTGTTACTTGACAGCTGAAGGTACCTAACTAAAAACACAAACAGTCCATCGTAACTACTAAAATTAAAAATACATTGTTTACATTTTAATTGAAAAAGCAATATACTATTCATTTTTATCTTTTATAATTTCTCTTATATTTTTGATTTCATGTAGAACACCTATACGTACTTATAATTTTATTATTGTTTTTAATTTAATTGCAATATAAATTAATAGTGAACTATATATTTACAATATTTTCTTTTTTGTTTATAGGTTCGTTACTGAGGGAGGACCTAGTGATACTAAACTTTTACCCGGTGATCAAATTCTTAAGATAAATGATGAAGATGTTCAAAATGGTCTTAGGGATTATGTAATACAATTGGTGAGGTCTTGTAACGAGACAATCACCTTATTAGTGTGTCAGCCTCCGCTTGACAATGTGAGTTTTTCCGCCATTTTTACCGTGCGCAACAGTAAATGGTAATCGCTTTATATATTTTGATTGCAGTCGGCCAGGAAGTCAGCTTTGTTAAGTTCAGCAAAAAAGGCCAAACTCAAATCTAATCCTTCTAGAGTGCGTTTTGCGGAAGGAGTTCTCGTAAATGGTTCTCCATTATGTCCGGTGAGTTATAATAATAATAATAATAATAATAATAATACATAATAATATTTCTTTATTACGGAAATAAATTCCAATTACAGTTTTTTTCCATATAATATGTATATAATGTATTGTACTACGTACATTATCAGTAAATAAGTTATATATAACAATAATAATAATAATAACTTAAAATTTAAAGAGAAAATAGGTATTAATATCATACATTGAAATATTTAAATTTATAAACTAAAAATACAATGAAATTAAAACGAGATGTTAATATTGTTTCTAGTACCTTATAATTTGTTATGTATTTCTTAAAACATTCGCCATAAAAGTATTTAAAGAATTACAAAAAAAAATCAATATTTTTTATAGAGTTGCCTGTGGATATTAAAATATTGGATGGAGAATTTCGCATAATATAGTTTGTAGCTGAATGTTTTATATTGAATAAATTTACAGATCGGTGGTTTATTGAATTTATTTTAAAATTTATATTTTGCARTRATTCCGGRCAATMAATCATATTATTTAATAATTTGAATAAAAATTTTAATTTAATTTAAATAAATCGTTGTTCTAGTGATTGCATATTAAAAAACCGGATTGTAACATTATAATCAGAATGGGGTGCTATATAAACAAAACATTGATAACATAAAAATCTGATAAAATTATTTTGAATTTTGTTTAAATATTGGATTTGTGTTACTAAATAATATGAATCCCAGATTAGGAGGGTACAATCAAAATGTGAACGGATTAGTGACTAGTATTTTTGAATGCAGATTCATCTCTAAAGTTTCGACATATTCGTTAAAAAACCTAGCTTTTTCGATCCTTTATTTCTAATATAAAGTATAATTTCACCATATTATGGTCCTTAAAAGATAGTTTGGAGTCAAATTTTACTCCAAGATCGTGTACTGAAGAAACTTTTAATAAATTTATATTACACAACGAATAATTTAACTGAATGTCTGGATAGAGTGCTTTTTCAAAGAAAATGCTACATAGAAACATTTTTTTTAAATTTAAGTGCATAGCATTTTGCTGGCACCATTTATACATATTATTTAAATCTAATTGTAGTTCAATAGCGTCTTTTAAGCAGCTAATATTTTTGAATATTTTTTCATCATAAGCTAATAATTTATAGAAAGGCAAAATAATATTTGGGATAAATAGTCTCCTCGGGGGACACCGGAAGTAATAAGGATTTGTTCAGAGACATAATTTTTATATTTTAAAATTTGGGTGCGTCCAGAAATGAAAGAATAAAACCAAGAATGAAGTGATTCAGTGATTCCATACATTTTCAGTTTATTAATTATTAATTTATGATTAATCCTATCAAAGACTTTTTCTATATATGACATCAGCTTGTGATTGAGTTTTAAATGAATCCAAGATTGCGTGTTTAAATATGCACAAATTTGTTATTGTTGATCTATTTTGCCTAAATTCATGTTGGTCATTTGATAATAATTTATCGCATAAAGGTGTAATACTCGTAATATTATTTACTAATCTTGAAAATAATTTTGGTATTATTGACAATTTAGATATAGGACGATAATTGTTTATTAAGCATCTGTTGCCTTTTTTAAAAATCGGGGTTGTATAATATGAGGATTTCCATTGTTCTGGAAAGATACCTGATAACAATGACTTATTAAATAAAGAGGTTATAGCTGGAGTAAGTATGAATGCACACTCTTTTAAAGATAATGGCGAGATTTCATCAGGACCAATTGCTGTTTTATAACTAATATTCCAAAGTTCATTGAAAATATCTATCTGTATTCAATTTTATTAATATTTCCGATATTATTTTCTTTTAAATTAATTTTTGGGCAAGTTATATAATTTGTGATCGGTGTTGGGATTAGATAAGTACTTTTTTATCTAGATAAAGATAAAGATAACAGGACAAAAATGTATCTAGATAAAGATAAAGATAACAGGACAAACATTTATCTAGATAAAGATAAAAGATAACACAATTTAAATTTATCTAGATAAAGATGAAAGATAAATACATTATTATCTAGATAACAAGAAAGATAAATTTAATTTTTTTAACACATTGAAATCCAAAACATTTTAAGAGTACACCTTTGATACTACTTAGTACTTCAATATTATATAAACATCGGCTATATGAGTAAATTAATGTTAGCAGTAGACATTATTATTAATAAATAACTAAGGTATAACTGAAAAAAAAACATTTTTTAAATAAAGTATCAAAATCAAGAAAAAACTACACATTTTACACGATTCGTAATAATGTAATGTAGGTATATTTGACCACAGTGTCCGGGCCCCTAATGAAAATATCAATAATAAAAAATAATACCTGTATAATAAATAACATTATTATGAACATATTTTTTTTTTTTTACTGAGATGACTCGTAAATTCAAATTTAAAATATTGGCTAGTTAAAATACAAATAAATTGACAATCAAAATGTGTATTATATTTTTTTGTATGGAGATGAATTTATCTAGATGAATGATTTTTTTATCTTAGATAATTATTTCGATATAATTCAAATATTTATCTAGATAAGATAAAAGATAACTAAATAATTATCTAGATAACTTATCTAGATAAGTCTCAACTCTGTTTGTGATGTATG